TCCAGCTTCTTGCGTGCACGTAGTTCCTCGTTGTCAGCATCGAGTTGGCGCACAAAACTCTCTTCTTGCTTGAGCGTCGCCTCTCTTTCCTTCAGTTGTCCCTGAAGCTCATGCATCTCCTCGAGGTACTCATCGTACATTCCCTTGGCTGTCAGTCTCCAGTACTCAGCCTCCTTCGATTTCTCGTCCATCGTGCACCGTTCCTCTTGTTTCTCCTCTTTGACCTGGGCTAACTCCAAGATCGCATCCTGACGATGACCACCTTCGATAGCAATCATCTGGTCCTTCACCGATACGTCGGACTCATACTGTTTGACGATCTCTTCTTTTTCACGAAGCAAGCAATCCGCTCTCTTCGATTCCTGTTCCGCAAATACTGTAACGTCATTCAGCCTCGTCATCAGCTGTTCCCTGGAGTCCTCCAAAGAGTACGTCTCGGGGCGCTTGACGAGTGCATGCTCCAACTGTGATTTCAGACTTTGGACCATCTCCTCCTCGTTGAACTTCTCGATAGATGTAGAAGATTCTATGCCTCTGATCTGTTGCTGATAAACTGATATCTGTTGTGAAGCCTCACGGTGTATCTGATTTGCACGTATAGCTGATTCCTGCGCGGCCGACTTCTCGCTTGCCATGTAGGATTTCATCAATGCAATCTCCCGCTTCTGCTCCATGATAGTTCCTTCAGCTTGCCTCATCTGTTGCATTATAATATTCGACTCCATGTCTTTCTTCTCCCCGTACTGAAATGCGTTCATTTCCACCTTGCGCATCTGTTGGGCTTCTTCCTCAAACTTGCGCCATGCCTCAGCCATGTGGTGTTGGTGGTGACTCACTAGATGTCCCGACTGCTTGCTGGCAATCTCGCATCGTCTTTCCAGCTCCTGGATCCGGATGGTGCTTCCATAGTCTTCTTGGTTAAGATTCGCCATTGCTGCCGACATCTCATCAAGTGTCTTCTGATATTCCCCGATCTCCACCTCCATCTTATTCTTCTCTTTGATCACGGCGCGAAAATCTGCACTGGTGGGTGATTTTGACCTCCCACCCTTCGATGTCGATCTCACGCCCTTCTGCGACGTCCGTGGT